TTCATTTTCGCCACAAAAATTTGTCATTGAAATTGCTGCGCGGCAATCGCATCGGATACAACTTTCAAACTCCAAGCGTGCGATATTTGAATTAAAAAATTAATTTCATTATTTTTGACAAAAGAAAAGATAATATGTTTATAGCAATAAATGTATTGTACCGCGCTGTATATTTTACAGTATGCCGGACAAGCAAATGGACAAGCTTCAATTAAAATTCTTTTCTTTATCTTGGTTTTTATATAATTGAGAACAAATATGAAGGACTTTAAATTGCGATAAAAATCAAATTTTCAACGTAATAGAAGTTATATGTTGTGATTTTACTTTTAAAATGTCGTTCATTTCTTCGATACTGTCGATCAAAACATGTGTTAATATTTTTATTTGCTTTATACGTATTAACATTAAAGCTTATTAAAAATCAAATGAAAACCTGAAACTTCTTTTCAACAACAAATTGTCATTATTCAAATTTAATTTTTTTACGATATTTGTGAGTGTTTTGGGTCAATATGAATTTTTGTTTTCTGGTTTTATCGTAGTCTATACATCTGCATTCTGCTTTTTTAATAAATTAATAAAATTAGTCACAAATTATATTTTTTATTTTATAGTAAGCAATAAAATTATCAGATATTGCAGAAAATAAATAATTTACAAAGTTACAAATACGATTTTGATAACCGCAATCAATAAAAATGAAATATTGGAAATGAACATAAAAAGAAATGTGCTTGATAGAGACAATCAATAGAGTGTGAGAGAGGAAATGGAAATTTGTAATATTAAAAAAAAATTTTATGGCCACTTTTATTGGTACATTACCAATATCGAAAATGATTTTGCAATATTCTGAAGAAATATGCTAAAATGGTGGGTTTTTTTTTTCTCTTTTCGTTTTGCATTTTCCGTTCCCCTAAAAATTCGATAATCTGTTCTTATTCAACATGTTGAATGATGATTATATTGAATATTAATGTTGAAAATATGAATTAGAAATTATTTATTGATTGAGGTGTGTTGAAATTTAATATCACTCATTTTAAGGTCACCATTTTTGAAATTGACAAAAATTATTTACAAAATCTTAGGTTAGGTTAGGTTGTCGCGGCTCCCCGAAAGGTACGCATAGGCCAACTAGGCCCGTGTAACCTTCTCCTTGCATGTTCGCCGATCAGACAATGACCCGTCAGTACCCCTACCACAGCACTGATATCCTGCCTTCTGAGAGAGATCAGATCCCTTGTGCGACGTAAATCCGGCTTTGGCCACAAATTCCTTGTCGCGTTACACGTTGCTCCATTAGCCCATCTAAGGTTGGTGTGCGCTCCACTGCCTCGTTGCGCAGCAGCAGCCCTAGGGTTCTTAGAGGCATGCCCAATTCTCCTTTTCAGAAGTTCTCTGGGTCCGGGGACCCGGACCAAGTTTATTTCGAACTGCCCTGCCATCTCATTGAGAGACGACTTGCAGTCCCGGACTGTTCTAGTCGTGGAGACCTCAGTGAAAATACTGACGCCAACAGCCGATGCGACGTTGCACCCAAGCCAGCGCAGAGCCTTCCAAATTGCGGCCACCTCGGCTTGAAATACACTACATTGATTCGGCAGACGGAAGGAGAGCTCAACATCTAATTGCTCAGAATAAACTCCCCCGCCCACCCTGCCATCGAGTTTCGATCCGTCCGTGTAAAAATGTACTGAATCGTCGTCAGTACATCCCCTCGTTCAGCCAGGCTTCCCTAAGCGGAATCGAGGTCCTAAAGTTCCTCGTGAATGACAGCACCGGGGGAACATAATAAGTTGGCCCCACAGCATGTCCACAATCCACGAGAACGGAAGCATGCCTCCTAGGGGCATAAGACCAGTGAGGTGCGGCCCGCAAGCGCACCGCAGATCCCACAGCCATCTGCCAACTCAGCACGTCTAGTGGCGGCAAATGGAAGAGAATCTCGAGAGCCTGAGTAGGGGTGGAGCCTAATACCCCAGCAACACATACCATCGCCATTCTTTGAATCTTGCTTATTAGCCTGAGGCCCCCCGTTGTGTGGAGAGCTGGCCACCACACCAGAACGCCATACATCAGGATCGGCCTCACCACTGGGGTGTATAGCCAATAAACCATGCTTAGTTTCAGGCCCCACCTCTTCCCGACGGCCTTCTCACATGAGTAAAGCGGAATAGTTGCCTTCCTTACTCTCTCCATAACGTTGGACCTCCAGTTCAACTTTGAATCAAGAATTAGACCCAGGAATCTAGCCTCCCTGCTAAAGGATAAGCGGATTCCGTTGAGTATCGGCGGAGTTATTGTTGGTATCTTATATCTCCTATTGAAAATAACCAGTTCCGTCTTTTGTGGGTTGATAGTCAACCCACAGCCGACAGCCCAACCAGACACGAGGCTCAGAGCCCTCTGCATCAGCCCACTTAGGGCATGAAGGTGCTTTCCTCCAGGACGACCCTTGAGCTCTCCTTAACCCCTTCTTATACTTCCTTAGGTCATCCCTATAAGCGCACCAATCAGATGATGCCCGGTGAACTTCGCCTTGTTAAACTGAGTTCTACATTTTGCCAAGGGCGTTTAACCCATCGGACCACCATTGTGGTTTCTTGTTGCTTCTTATTCGAGTTAATGGGCACGCCTCCCTAGAGGCGCCATTTATGGCTCTCTATAGCAACGAATTCAAATTCTATATAGCGATGGTCCGAAAAGGAATGCTCTTGCGATACTTTCCATTTCGTAACCGAGCCAAAACTAATTTGTGAGGCAATGGTTATGTCTATAACCTCCTGCCTATTTTTAGTAACGAATGTGGGCTCTGAGTCTCTATTACATGGTGTGAGGTTAGTACTCAACACTCACCTCTAGTGTTGGTATCCGAGCTTCCCCAGATCACGTGATGTGCGTTAGCATCACTTCCAATGATGAGACCAGTGTCAAGAGACCGCGCCTTATCCACCAGGTCTCTCAGATTGCTAGGTGGAAGCATCCCCTGAGAATCATAGGGCAGGTATACTGAGGCCCACCAGGAGATCCTGCCACCGACCTCGAGACTGACTGCAGTCAAATCTTCATTGCTGTAAAGAGGCAACAGAAAAGCATTTAAGTCACTTTTAATTAATATGCATGATCTTACCGTTCCGTCGCTGTTGCTACAAAACAGCTTAGAGTTCGCCGTCCTGAGTCCGCAGATCCTTCCACCTGCCAGCCAGGCTTCCTGGACCAGAACTATGTCTTTTCCGCCCCTTTGTAGGTGGAGAAGGAGCGCAGTCGATGCCGTTTTAGAGTGATGGAGATTGATCTGGATTATTCGAAGCATTATTGTTTTCGTCAACCCCCACCAATGTTTTCTCTGCATCGTCGTCAAGGTCCAGGTCCAGCAGGGCCCCCTCCAGGTCGAGATGCATGACGTCGTCGTCTGTCAGATCCGACCCATCCAGCATTTCTGCTTCTGATGAAAGCGGTGTCTGAACAGACGCCTTTGCGGGTTCCTACCTGTTCTGGACGACTACAGGCTCCCGTTCCGGGACTGGCCCTTTGTCGTCCTCCGGCTTCTGGGTCCCCCCTGCCCTAGTGTCCGTTTTGTACACCTTTAGTGTTATAGAGGAAAATCCATAGTTGATCACAAACCCCTGCTTCTGCAGAGGAGCCAGCGATTCTTTATTCAATATAACGAGCACCTGTCTATAGTCGCCCTTCTTATCTTCAAGCTTGGCCACCCTCCAGTTGGCAGTTGGCAGGTTTGTGTTTCCCAGCTGGATCATCTTTAAGATTGTATCCATGTCTGACGGCTCAGCTGGAATCCAGGTACGAGCTCGCGGTCTGCTTGGAATAGCTTCCTTTGCAACGACCGCGAGTCTTGCGCCGGGCCAGATTTCTCCAATCCTCACTATTGCCTTCGGGTATAGGTCCAGGGAAGTACTATCTGCACAGGCAACAAGTTTCACACACCCCTGGTGCCAACCTTGGTGTCTGCACGAGGGATATGGGTCTGGATTTTCGCTCATGATTTGAGGGAAGTTTGTCATAAGCCGACTTTCCACCTTCCGCCAGTTTTCTACTGAGATCGTGCCATCATCTTTTAACTGGTCTACCACTGCAACAATTAGATGGCCTTTCAGGATCTCGTTGAACGGCCTTGTGACGCTTGAAGGTTTGTTCGGTGGCCTTGGTCTCTTAGCTGCACGAGGTGGTTCCTCTGTGGAGCGTTGACGCTTAGTAGCCACCCCCTTCTCGCTCGTGTGCTTGTCCACTATACTCTTTGCCCAGAGATGTATGTGGACCTTTCTTCATCTGACCTATTTTTTGCCTGACTTTGTCATAGCCTCGTGCTCCGCTGCTTGATCCCGATTGGGGTTCCTGTTTCACCTTTGGTTTCGCAACAGTACTTACCGCATTTCTGTAGGTTACCTCCTGCTTTAGTAGTGGATTCGCCTTCTGCAAGGTCCTAGTTTTACTGTAAGGAATGGGCTTGGCCAAATTCCTTTCCGGCTTTTTATGAGTACCGGACTCATCGATGTTTTCCCCGTTTTTTTTCTCCATACTGGTCCCACGAGTTGCGAAGAAAGGAAGTCCATCTAGACAGAGATCCGCCGTACCTAGACAAGGCTAAGTAATCCGGAAGGCGCCAGGTATTCGGATACTCCATTCGCGACTGGGCTATTTGTCTGAGCCCCCGGCCAAGCTGATTATCGGCACGGGTCGTATAACATCTTAATTCGGCCCAGGGGAATTTGGAGTGAAGGGAGTCAATAGGAGGGATATGTTAGGAGAAGGGTTGATTATCATTTGGTTTCAGGTCTCATCTGGAGATGTTTCCCGGGACTCCTTGACCCTACTTGGCTCCTACACCGCGACGAGGTATATAATCGTGTAGAAGGGTAGATAGTCGTGTGTACAAAATCTTAATATTTTTATATTGCCACAATTTATTAAATAAATTTGATTTTAAATTTTAATTTATAATATTAATTTTTTTTCTTTGTTGTAATTTTTTGCAGGTGTGAAAATATGCAGGAATTGATTTTAACTGAAAATTTTTTAACACAATTACCAACATCAATTGGACGTATGACAAAATTAAATAATTTGAATGTTGATCGTAATTCATTGGATAGTTTACCAGTTGAAATAGGACAATGCACAAATTTAGGTGTATTAAGTTTACGTGATAATAAATTAAAAATTTTACCACCCGAATTGGGTAATTGTAATTTATTACATGTATTAGATGTATCTGGTAATCAATTACAATATTTACCATATTCATTGGTTAATTTACAATTAAAAGCTGTATGGTTATCAGAAAATCAAGCACAACCATTATTAACATTTCAACCAGATACCGATGAAAAAACTGGTGAACAAGTAAGTGCGAATTAAAATTTTTTAAGTTAAATTCATATTTTTTTATATATTTTAGACCTTTTTTAAAAAATATTACAATAGTAATTAACTATCATTATATATTCAATAAAATTATTACTATTTTCGAATATTAGAGATCAAATTATTCAATATGACAGTCCGACTCCTTAAACGAATTTGTTTATTTGTATAAGAAGTGCTTCATCAGAAATTACGGTATGAAATTATTTCGATTAAATTCCATTTTGAATAGGTGCATTCGATAATTTTGCATAACAAAAATAATTCTTATAATGTGCGACTAATGTAAGAAATACAGTCTGACTCACATAAAAGCAAAATTCCTTTATTAACAAAATACAGTTTCTTTTATTCATTTCAGCTGTTTTATTATTTTCGTAGTTTAAACCCTTACACTCGCAATAAATTTGACACCAATACGTCTTATCCTCTATATGTCGAGGTACTTTTTATCACAGAAAAATATTTTTCATTTCATCTTAAACTCAATTCTGATATTGTACAGCTTTCACAAACTATGCTTCAATAAACTTAAACAAATTAATCTACCAGATAATTTCATTTGTATATCTCTTTGAAATTTCTGTCAAACTCCGTACATGTGCAGGAAACTCGATAAAAAGCAAAATCTGTGCTTCTAACTGAAGTCGTTTATAAGAAAAAACAGGAGATAAGTAATAAAAATCGTGCAACATTTTGTTGTGATTATAAGCGGGTCTCACTGTAGACGTGCGTTGTAATTAGAATATGTATATAGTTATTACTATTCGAGCTAATTGTCACGAAACATAAATAATGGTGTAAAACATTACACCATTACGATAAAATTTTTATCGTAATATTTTTTAAATGGCGTCAAATATGCGTTCCAAAACGCCATTCAAATATTGTTATGATCGTCTTTAATTGTTAATAATTAATAAAATGAAAAGAAAAATTGAGTTAATTAGGTGATTAACAGTAATTATGTTGATAATTACTTACGACATTCCGACATTCAGACATTTTTTTCTTTTATACTTTTAATTTACTATTGTAATTTTTTTCTAAACAGATGTCAGAAATGCCATTTGTTGTATTTTACATAATTTCATTTTTTCACTGTTTTTTTTTTTCTATATTCAACAGGTTTTAACATGTTTCCTACTGCCACAACAAGAATATCAACCAATTAGTCCAGGTGAGTTAAAAAAATTTCAAAATAATATTTTTTTTTAAAGCTTTTTTAATTTTATTTTCTAATTACAATTAAAATTTCTTTTGTTTGTTGTTTTTATTGTTTTCAATAAAAAAAATATTATGGTTGTCCTTTGCCTAAATATGGAAAATGTGAACAAGAAAAAATTTGAGAAAATCAAATTAATTGTTTTTTTTTAGTCAAAAACAGATTTTGACATTTTCTATGGATTTTTTTTTTCTCCCTCCATAATTTTTGTTTGTTTTCTTTTATTATTTGTGTGTGTGCGTGTATTGTGAAATTGCACTTAATCACTTTAAATTTAATTAAAAAAAAAAATTAATTTTTTCTTAAGCAAATTTTTATTCTACACTTATAAAATGTCCTTAAAATTTTTTTTTTATTAAATTTTATTTTGAATTTTTAATAAAAATAAATTTTTATTCCTCACGTTTTTGTTTTTTTTTTTTTGAAAAGCAAATGCTTATAATTTTAAAAATCCTTAAGTTTGTGTCACCTTGAAAATTTTAACAATTTATTATTAATTTATAATTAGTTTTGTTTTTTAATTATAGTGAGAACTAGTCATTTATAGTGGTGGTTTACATACAATTAAAAATATAGTAGCATACTTTAAGGCGAATTTGTCATAAATTTGCTTAATTCTATTAGAAATGATAAAAAATGAGAATAGTAGATGGAAGTGGGTTAAAAAGGCAAATGCATAATGTTAAATTTTAAGATAACTATGTACGGATGTGGAAATTTTGTTGATTTTCGATTATTAAATGCAAAATTTTGTGAATTATATTGAAATTTTCAAGAAAATTTTTTTGAGTTGTAAGAAAAATTGTGATTTGAAAAAATTAGTGTGCAGTGTAGTGAGTATATTACCCGAAATTTCCAAACTTGTTCATCCACAAATACTTTTAAATTTTGATTACTTATTAAAATTTATTCAAATTTAGTAACTCAATTTTTATCTTTTGAATTACAATTATGTTTATCAACCAGTTCAAAAGCAAAAATTAAAATTACATAAATTTGCTGTCTTTTAACCCTTTTCTTCCAAGTGCACGAGTTTCACAACAGATTTTAAGATTTTACTCAACTAAATTTTTTTAATTTCTAACTCAAAGAGTGTTTAATTACTGGATCCTATTTAAAGTGCATGGTCTATATGCAGGGTTAAAACAAATAAAAAATTTCAAAGTTTTTATTTGATGGAACCATTTACTTAAAATTAATGACGAAAAATAATTTAATTAGTTTTCCGCTTAAGCAATTTTTATAAGAATAGTCTATTATTAATTTCTAATTTAACCCTTATGATGGGTTATAGTTAAAACATGCTAAATTGGAAAAAGGTTAACAAAAAAAAATGAAAATTTTAAATTTCCATTTTCGATTTCTTGATAAAAGCGGTAATTAAAACTTTTAATAAAACTTTAAATTCCTTCTATTCTTCTCCGATGAAAATTTATAAAGGAAGGAAGATGATGAAAAGTAAATATATAAAATTGTGGTTTTCTTATTAGTAGATGAGGTGAAATTAGCGGTGGTAGGCGTTTTTATCATCAAAAGGTTACCTTAATTTTTTTTCTTGTTTATTTAGTTTTGGTTTTTTAATCAAAATCTGTTGTGGTTTTAAATTTGTTGTGCTTTTTGTTCTTATGATTATTTCCATTGGATTATAGAACGGTAAATATTTTAAACTGAGCGATTATTGAGTGAGTGTAAGGAAAAAAAGGAAAATTATGTGCGTTATCTAAAATCTTGAAGAGTTTTCTTTTTGTTTAATTTTTAATAATTTTATAAGGATATAAGCGAAAGTATTTATTTATATAAGTTTTCTTTCAAAATTTCTTAAAATCAAACCAAATTGTTGTTGTAAGATTTTAAAGAGAGGAAAAAAGAGATCAAAAACATTTTTAGATTAGAAAATCTGCATAAATGAAGAAATGTGTACTCGAGTTCGTATATATTCGTATAAGTATAAAGTTACAACAAAAAAGATGACTAAATTTAGAGAAAAATTCAGAAATTCAAAATTTGCAAGTATTGTAAAAAATTCTTCTCCTATAATGTTAAATATTCTTTGAAATGTTTAAGAGAATGTTCTTAAATATTTGAATTTCAATAGGTAACTTAAAAAATGTAAGTTTTTGAGTGCACTTTTATAATAGAAACTGAATTTGGAATCTGATTAAAAATTTCGCTTTTCGATCATTCACCATCGGTCTAATGGGTATATAAGAAATCTGTAATTTTATATTAGCATATACAGTTGAGGGTTAAATACAATTATGAATATTCTCTAAATATTTCTGTATATTTTAAAGCTCTATAGAGTGCTTTGAGGGAATTTGATTTTTCATAAAAAAAAAAAATACTGTTATCTACACGTTTAAGATTTTCTTACTTTAAACTAACTAATCTATTTCAATTTTAAGGTGACACAAAAAGGGTCAAATTTTTCACTAGATATTTAAATTAATTTTCGGTTTCTAGTACGAAAAATGGCTCCATCTATAAAATAGCATTGTTTTTAAATGAAATTATAAAGGAAAACAACTACAATTATTATATAAGAAATCTATATGCCTGTCTCTTTTCTGTAAACTTCGATCTCTATTTGTTTCTTTGTTTCTTTTTTGTTCTTGCTTTTGTCTTTTCAAATCTTCGTATAATTTTTCTTCGTATTGTTGTTGTCAAAATGTCAATTTGTATATTATGCGTATATATGTATGTATATATATTTATAATTATTAACGGTACTTTAATTATTATCAAATAAAATTTTTTTTTCTCTATTTTTTTAATGTGTAATTTTTACTTTAAATTTTTTTTTAATTTTTTTAAATAATGTATTTGTATTTTTTTTTTCCATTATCTTTATATACAAAAATCTTAAAAAAAAAAAAAAAAATTATGTATTGTTCGTAAAAAAACAAAATCTATAAAAAAACTCCAAAAAAAAAAAAATTAAAAAGATTTCCCACCTGGCCAGCTGTACAGATCCAATGAAAAGTTTAATTCAGCAGAGCTTTTTGAGCACAGTAATAATGATGAAGGTTTGCGTTTAATACAAACAAAAACTATTTATATGCACGCAATTATTTAAAATAATAAATTTATAATTACATAAAATAATTAATTACTTAAAAATAAAAGCCATATTTTTTTTTACATAAAAATTCATTCATTCATTCATACGTATATGATAATTTATTAATATATAATTAATATTATTGTATTAACAAAAATTATATAGTTTTCTACTTAAAAGTATTCATAAATAATCACATAACAATTAAAATTGTTTTCATTTAAACAGAGTGTTTCAGTTTGTTTTTTTAAATCATTAAAATTGTTGTAGTTTTTTTTTTTTAATTAATGAAAATTTAAGAAATGAATTTGGTTGCGTTTGAATTTTTGGTTACTTTCAACTTGGAGTTGCCATATTAAAATGAATTTTTGTTAATTCACTTTAATATGGCAACTCTGAAAATTAAGACCTTACATTTTAAAAATATGTTGTTTAATCGCGTTTACAGTAAATTTTGTATTAATATTATCAAATTTTGATTAATCCGGCAAATAATTTCAAGAATAATTCTTTGATTAATTTTCAGCAAAAAATTATATGGGTGGGTGGGATTGCAGATATTCTCATTTTCGAGCTGCAGCCTTTTGAAAGGAAAGGTATCGGACTTTTCCTGCATATAAATAAATGCTTATAACTTCGGAACCATACAATCATTAGAGGTATCATAAGGAGCTTGTTTTTTGAACTTACAGGCGATTGATTGTTCTTCATTTTTAGTCTTACAGTTAATTTGATTTGAGCCATAGTTTTTGAGATACAGCTCGTAAAAATCAGAATTTTTGTTTTTGTTTTTTTTAATTTATTGTGCAAAGAATCTTTGAAATTATTTGCTACCTTATTTTTATACAGCAAAAATTGATAAATTTAGAATTCATCAAGGAACATGTTCATAGTTATTAACGAGTTTTCGAATTTTAACTGTACATATTCCATTTATTTTAAAAATTTTCAATGAAATTTATTATAACATTTTTTCAGATGTTACATAAATTTTGTAAAATCAGATTCAATTTAGAATCTTATCCGAAAGTATTAGAGTGAAAATTATTTTCAAAAATTTATAATGCTGTAAATAAAATTAATTTTAGCTGAATTCAGCTGTAATCAAAATTTTTTACTCTCTAAAATTATTCCCTTGTTCTTATTAAAATCTCCACTACTATTGTGTAAGACTCACTGTGATAAATATACTGTAAAAAAGAACTGGATACACTCTGTGCATTAGTGAAAAGCTTCATATATATAACAACAAATAAGCTATATATAGTTATTCATTTATATATATATCTATATACATAATTAATTGAGAATGCCTGTCATATATAAAATTTAATATATTATTTACTAACTTTTTATTTACATACATAACTACACATGTACATACGTTATATATAATTAAAGTTTTATAATTGTATTAAAGGAAAAATTAATTTATTATATTTAAAGTTAAATTTTAATATGCAGTTAAAACTTTGTAGTTATTCTTACTAATATACTTACATATATAAAATATGGTTAATATTAAAGAATTGGGGTATATAAAAAAGTTTTATTGTAGAAAAAAAATTGTTTTATATAGAAAATCGATTTACAAAGCTATTATTGTTGTTATTATTGTCATAATCCTATATGGGAAAATTGTAATTTAGTTTTTAAATATTTTGTTTTCTTTTAATAATGTAGAAGCAATTTTTTAAAAACTAATACCAAAAGAAGTAGCGATTTTTAATTTCAAAATTTTGTTAAATTAGAAAATTTTTAATTGGAGAGAGTCTTGAATTTTAGCTATTTTTAATTAAAATTTGTTACAGTATAATTCTAACTGCATTCGATACTTCATCTCTAATAAAGCGGCTAATTATATACAAAAATTAGAACAGAATTTCAAAAAAATTACAAATTTTGAATTCCGTTCAATTGAGGACCTAAAATTTATATTTTCTTTCTGGCTTTACTTATTCTTTTGACGAAAAAAGAACGCATGACGATGTGTTTATACCAAACGCTTTGCCTAACAAATTTAAAGAAATATCTGGAAATGCATGCAACAAAAGAAACTTTTATTAATATTTAAAATATTTATTTTAAATATTTAAAAAATTTATACATATACATGCATACGTATGTTAAAAAAATTCCAACGAATAATGCGTATATATATATATATATATATATATATATATATATATGCACTCGAGTGCTTAATAATTCATTCTTCCATTAAAATCGTGAAATCAGGGTAAAAATTTATAACATTTTTCCCTTAGGATCATTAATGATTACAGAAAATCAGTGCATATATATATATATATATATATATTTATATATATATATATATATATTTCTAATATCAATAATATAATAATATATACACATATTTATATTTTACATGTTTTGTTGCATAAATTGTGTAATTATATAAGTATATTATGTGTTTATAAGTATGCCAAGGTTTACATAACTTTATACTTTTATACATCTTTAATAAAACGATGTCAAGAGAAACCCACAGGACTAGGAATTGTTTTTGGTATTTTTTTTTTTTCTTGTAAGAACAATAATTTTGATTGTATGTACACAATTTTGTATATGTATATATGAAGTTGGTTGAATAAAAATGAGAGTATTGTGAATATGAGTTGAGATTTTAATAAATTATATTAAAATAAATAAGGAGTAGATGTGTCATGTCACAAATATTGGATCATTTTTATATTGTAAAAGAATATTATTAAGGATATAATTTGGGGGTCAATAAGATTTTTATGAATTTGAATATTTCTAGTGTGATAGTGTGTAAAAAGTCTTTTAATATAGTATAAATTAATTTTGTTCGAGTCTATAACAGGCTAAAATAGACTGAAATTGATTTATTAGTCTATCACATATGTAATATAGTATTTGCTTTTCATTCTTATAAAACTTCATTCCAAGAATGTCAATATTTTTTATTACTACTATTCGAACGAAAGTATTTCGGCAAAGGCTTCGCCCTTTGAGAAGAGTTATGCTATATTAAAACTTATAATTAAATCTAGCTGTAATTATAATATTTTATGATACAGAATGTGAATACATATAAACAAAATTTTCAATAACTGCTTATATTGACATGAATCTGTCAAATTCTATTTTATACCGTTAGTTTTAAAATAAATAAAGTATAAATTTGATTATTAAAATTCCATTATGTGTTAAAATTAAGCCAAGCTTCATTAATTGCCAAACATATTTGAGAGAAATTTGACAATTACAATTCATTTGTCAAATTATTTTCATCTCAAATTAGATTGGTGTTGATCAAAATTATTTATATTTTGTGTTGATTCATTTCTTTAGTAAAATTTATAATTAATATTATTGAATATATCAATAAAATTAAGGAAATTTTCATTAAATACCTATTTCTTGCTCATTTATTTCTCATTGTCAATATAAATACAAATTGAGAACTCAAATGATAAGTCATTTTAAACGCTCTCTAATTAAATATTTAAATTGTCTACATATACCATTTATTTTCTTTCTTTATCTCTTCTCCTTTTAATATAATATTAATATATGTATATATAAAGAGCATTAGTATTATGTTCTTGAGTTTATCACTAGAGTGATTATATTAATTTATGTGTTCACTGAATACACAACACAAACATCTTAATTCTCCTTTTATTTGAAAAGAAAAAATAAAATCTCCTTTTTGATTAATTATTCATTAAACATTTTATTTACTTAAGTTTTATAATGCATATACACTTACCAGTCCATTTAACAATATGCGTACATACCAATTTAATATTTTCTTGTGTTTATTTAAGCCAACATATACGCTTTGTGTACATACGTATATTGCACATACATAAGTAGGTATGAATGGGTGTATGTAGGAATGTGTGAAATAAATTATCTGCACAATTATATTGATGTTTGGCTAAAAGATTTTTTTTTATTTAATTGAAAACTTTCAAAATGAAATTATTGCACATTTAAATAAATTGAAAATATTTTGCTTCCTTTATAATTTCTTCTGCTTTATTGATTCGTTTTACTCGAAAGGAAGCAGGGGGTTGGGTAGTAGGTAAATATATGAATACGTTCATTTTGTTTTGTTGTTGAAAGGTAGATTAAAATCTTTTTGAAATTTTTTTTTTTTTTTGCTTGTTTTTTTCTGATTTCTGATTTGTATCCTTTTTACGATAATATCCTTTTTTTTTTTTTTGTTTTGCAAAAAATATTTCCGACCATATCTTATTATAAGTTTATATATCTAACTATATTATTATTTGGTATACATATTATATGAATAATCAATGTTATTTTTCTCTTAAATATCATGTGGTAATAAACGATGAATATTTAATATTTTAATAAACTTATAAAAGGATTATTTCATTAAAAATGTTAAATATACTCTTATATAAATAACATATACATGAGATGCTGTTAAAATTTTACGTAGGTATATATGGTTATGTACCCTGTGTTGGTGCATATAAAATCATGCAATGAAGAAAAAAAGTTAATAATATAATTAGAGAAAATTATTAAAGAAACAAAACAGAAAAAAAAGTATAACAGGTATAATGAAGGAACGGAAAGGAAATTTTTATTTTGATTAAAGAATTTTAATTCGAATGAATTTTAATCAAAAAAAAAAGGATAATAAAAATTTTTTGAAAGACCTAAACATAAGGAATTAGAATAATTTTAAGTATGCAGAGGAAAAATATTGTAAAAAAATCATAAAACAAAATTGTTATGCCGAATTCCGAATTAAAATTTCATTTTTCATAATGTTAGGACTGCTTCAAAATTTTAACGGTTGTTTTTTTTGCAATTATAAAATCAATATTACAAATTTAGAATTGTGCGTGTCTGACTTATGGTATTTATGCTGTCATCTTAAAACGCAATTTTGTATTATTTTAATTCTTGAGTGTGCGGAATGAAAATTTTTGCTTGTGGGCGATTTTAAGTTTAATAAAGTGTTGAAGAGTTTTTTTTAAATTAAAAAAATAATTAGAAAAATAAATGTTAAAATAAAATTTTGATGATTTTTTTTAAATTTAAAATATATTAGAGTCAGCTGGATAAACACAGTTTAGAATCAAGAGAAGGATTTTGATTTTGTTAAAATTTTTTGATACTTGAAATTTAGGTGCGGTCGGCCCCTAGAATAGGCCAACCAAGAATTTTCAAAAGTTAAAATGAGTAGATACTTTTTTCTTTATTTTCAAGGGGAGTGGGCGAACACGCGCCTTAACATTGCTCTATACTTACATTAAGGTTTATTTTTTGAACATTTTTAGGAATATCTAAAAATTTGTTTTATTTCGCCGATGAAATGAAAATTTTTAAATAGGTTTTCTTCGGCATACTTGCTGGGCATTTTATTATTTAAAATTCTTTGTACTTACATTCATTTGATGCGCCATCTTATAAAATAATTTTTAATTACATACATTTTGTATTCTAATTGTTTTTATCAAAAAACATAAAATTTTTTTTCATACGACAATTAAAGAATTTTAACCTTTTCTCAAATGTTCCAACCTATTCTCAAATGTTCCGCTATTGTAACTCGTTTTTAATTTAAAAATAATTTCATAACAAAGAAAAGCCTAACACAGAAATTTTAAAAATATTTATTTAAACTTTTTTTTATTATTATTATTAACATTAAGTTTAACACCTTAACCTGTACGTGTATTTGTATGATAGTGAACATAAATTTAAAGTATATATAAGTACATATATATATGTATATAAATAGAGTTATGTAATAAAAATATTTTATTCAACGTAATTAAGAAGAGTGTAAATTATGCTTTAGAAAACAGACTTCTGATTGTATGCTAATTAAACTAGACGAAAATATTTAAAAATTAGAAAAAAAAGAAGAAAAAAATATGTTGATACGGCTAAACAAATATTAGAGAAACCAAAAAAAAAAGAGTTTAAAAATATTTTCTTCTATAATAAATACTTTATTTCTGTTGTTACGTACAGGGTACATTAAAAATTGTACGACAGTAATGAGTTAAAACGTTAGTTTCAACTCTTATTGGTAACTGACTCGTGTAGGTAATTAACTAATTGAGTGAAAATAAGGCTCAATTTGCATATTCCATATTTTGGGCAATTTTTTTTCAGTGTTAAGAAGCAAGTCCAATATGACAGTTCGTTTGTCAGTTAATTTTTACGTAATTTGTTTGATTACCAAATTTATCCTTAAAAATAGTTTTAATTAAATTCAAATTTAGTGTTCCGATCTGCATTATGATATATTATGTGAAATGTTAAAATGACGGCTCGTGAAAATGACATTAATGTTTTGTTTGTCTAAAATGACGTCTGACTCTAAGACAAGTTTTGACTCGAACAAGTAATTCAAAAATCCTTTTATGCTCTTGTTAAGATTACAATATAAAATTTGATGATGACACTGTACTTTCTGTACTTTTTTTTAATAAACTGAAATTTTTGACATAACTGTACAGTGTGGTGAAAAATGTAGGTTTATGTTTAGAATTATTTAACGTAAATTTTAATTTCTAGATCGCTTATAATTTACTAAGCATATAACTTGCTCTCTATTGGTGCTGCAAGTGTCGAATAATATTTCAATTTTTTCCAACCTGTATTCTTGTTACAGCAGCACAAATTTATATTAGGAGCTTTGTATTTAAAAACACGTAAAAAAATTTAATAACAAAACATTTTTTTATAGTCTAAATTTCTAAAATTAAGAAAAGAATTCAAAAATATTTTATGTAAATATTGACTTCATTAGAAGTTTCACAGGTTTTTATTTTAGCTTCTATTAATGAAAAAAAAACAAAAAATCGAAAATTAAACTACTTAATATAATTAACTTGAGATAATTTTTAACTGTTTTTCTTTTAAATTTTTACAATATTTTTCGATATCTGAACAGGCTTTTGAATTATAAAAGATTACGTGTAATTTATCATATATGAAAAAATTGAATTGTATTGCTTGTAGTTGTTCTTACATTTGTTGATTAGAAAAACACAAGAAAAAAATTGTTCTTTAAAAATTGTTAAAATTATCATTTTAATGTTTTTATTTACCGTATTGTTTTTATTTATTTTTAACAAATTTGAAAACATTTTACAATTAAGAGTTGTGATATTTGTAAAATTCACGTATACTTACACCAACACAAACAGTTGTCGCGTTTGTAAAATTTAAAGAATATATATGCTTCAATCCGTCTAGTGAGGAATTATGAGTTTCAAAAATTATTGTGATACATAAAAAATGTAGAGAAATTGTTAGCAAAAAGAAAAAGGGAAAAATTCGAATTTTGAAATTGACCTATTTTTTTGAAAGAAATGAAATGCATTAACAATATTTTTAACTAATTCACAATAGAAAATTTCGGTTAAATGTCAAGTTATTGTTGACTATGGCAGTTCTTAATTATATTCAGCGAAACAAAAGTTATATTTTGGTTTATTGACATAATTAATAAAACTGGTTTTGGTTTTTTGTCCCTTTTCGAAAAACCTACACGAAATATTATATTTTTACGAATTAATAATGATATTAATAGATCAAGAGCCGATGAGGCTATGTTAGAGTTGATAAAATAAAAATTTAATTCTCATTGTCCTCTCTTCATTTCTTTTACAATTCCACATTATTTATTCTTCATGAAAATTTAAAATCATTGTTTATATTTCGAAATTAATATTTTTAACATCCCAGCCCTGGAATGTATGTTAAAAATAAGCTAAGTTGAACAAATTATTGTACGAGTATGATAATAACTTATGATATAATATATATATCGAAACCCTGCATCTCGTATTGCAATTTAACATTGTAAGTACTACTGATATTAAAAAAAATTTCAATACACTGAGAAAAAAATGAAGTTATTTCATATTTAATTCGAATTGAAATATAAATTAACATTTATATTTGTTTCTTTTCTGAACGTACTTTCGATTTAATACAGATTGTTGTGTATTGAAAATTCAAGATATTAGTTAATCAATTTTAAATATGAAAATTTTAAACAGAATTCTATATCATTTTTTTCAGTGTGATTAATAAATTTTGTTTTTTAATTTTACAATTTTTAATAAGAAGAGGTTATATATTCCAACCAATTAAGGTTGTTTCGTCAATTTCAACTGGTCGGGCTCATCAATAGAACAACAATTTAAATACTAGTTAAACTACAATTTAAATACTAGTTAGACAACATGAATTATTTTATTTTTTTTAAATATTAAATTTACTTGAAATAATTGTGATTTCGCACAGATTTTCGAGGTGCTTCGAAATTTATCAGTTTAACTTTTACTGCAATTTTAATAATATTAAATTAGACCATTACAATTGAGGCATAAAACTTAATTAAGAATTTATATGCATATAGTTCAAGGGGGTAGAATTTATATTTTGCCCTTTTCAAATTTAAATGAGGCAAATCTCATTTAATTTATTTGATTTTCCAATATCTAATTAACAAAATTTTTTATAATTACGTTATATGCAAAAATTTGCATTTTATTTTTTTTTTTTTTTGAAATTCTAATTCTAATTTTACTTGCAATTTTCAACAACTATATTACGCAAAATATTGCTATTTATTATTGTTATTATATAAATTTTATTTGCCTTAGCCTATATAAAATTTGCTTATTCTTATTCTTCATAGCATGGCATGTTCATTATCTATTCTTTGTAGTTTGTTATTCTTAACTAATTGAAATGAATCAAATGAGAATAAGAATAAGAAAAAAAAAAAATGGAAATTTTATGAATGAATTCGAATGTCAAATTGGCATGAAGTATAGAAAACAAAAAATAAAAAAAAAATGCCATCTATTTTTTGTATTTTTTTCTAATTTTCTACAATATTTGCATTTTTAGTAGTTACAATTTGTGTAGATGCATATGAGACCTTTATATTATAAGTACATAAGTATATTTTGCCTATAATCAAAAGCATGTTTTGTATTTTTTTTGTTTTTTTAAAATTAATCTTAACTGATGATGTTTGGTTTGTTTGTTTTCTATATGTATAAATTATAATATGCAAGTTTGTATATGTTATTCCTGTTTCTATTTTAAATTACAAAAAAAAAAAAGAAATTTGTTTTGTTTTTTTTTCTTAATTTTTGTTTTTCTTTTTAATTTAGTTTACTAATTTTGTCATTAATCATAAATTTTTTCTTCTTTTTGTTTTTCTTCTTCTCGTTATTTTTTCTTTACATATGAAAAAAAAAAAAAACAACTTTCTTCGAATACAAACAAAAAACAAAAAAAAAAAAACTTTAGTTGTTCGTGAAGTTGAATCTGATTCAGATGGTTGGGAAGAACGTGAAACAACGCGTCAAATATCTGTTAAATTCTCAGAAGATTCAACAGTTGAAAAGGATACACCATTTGTAAGACAAAATACACCACATCCAAAGGAATTAAAAGCAAAAGCAAATAAATTATTCCATAAGGAGCGTAGTAGAACTGGTGAAGAAGGTGGTAATTTGGATACTCTATCAGAGGAGGTAAGTGTTTAAAAGGCAAAAAAGTTTTGCAAAAAAAAAAAGTGGAGAAAAATTTCAGAAAAAAAAATTTAAAAAGGATATGAAAAAATTATTCAACAAGTGGTTAATAGAATGTTTTTTTTCTCCTTTTTTTGCCTTTTCTTTTTTAAATGTAGAACAAATTAATTTTTGTCATTCTTATTATAAAACTTTAATATAATTATATATATATGTATATATATATAGGATATATTCTCTTTCGTTTAATCCTTAAATTTCCTTTAATTAATTATGTTGAAAGAAAAATGAAAAAAATTCTTTTCTCAATTTAAATATTTAAAATTAGGTGTATAAAGATGCTGTTATCACTAAATGTTTTATAATAATGTGAGAGAAATTATATAGGTGTACTATTAAAATACCTTTGAAAATTTCGGGTTATTTATTCATTCCAAATGGAAGAATTGTTCAAAATTTTTGAAAAAGTGGAGGTTTATAGTATATCTATATGGTATAGAAATATTAAATGTTAAAATTATCAAAATTTGTTTCTGTGGTATGATATCCATTTTTATATTTATATGGATTATTTCTGATTAAGTATTCAGTTAAGCAGTATCATAGTGTATCTGTAATTTCTGAGACGTATAGCATAATTTGACATGATTATTATTCCGATTGCAATTTCAGTGTATGCAATGCAAATACTGAAAAAACAATGTTATTAAAAAACAAATATCCCAATAAATCACTAGTGATATCAGCTCAGATTTTACTAAAATATTGTGATATCTAAAATTCACCGAGTGCAAAAAATATAACTCAAATTTATTTGCTTGAAACTGAGTGATCTGTAATAAATTGTGAGATTAAGAGCATATTTTATCACAAGTGACAAGTTAATATTGATCACAAATTACATACATATATGGAAAGAGAAAATATTAAAGAATAAATAACACGAAATTTTTATTGTTTGCTACTGTAATTTTATCATAATATTCTCAGTAAATCACCATCGTATTCTTAATAGAACAAATTTTTAACATTTAATTTTTTCTCTTAAACTTAATTCATTCTCTTAAATCATTCTGTATTTTGCAAATGACAATTTAGGCGTTCAGTGCATTAAGTGGCCTACTCAAAATTTTTGCAAAAATGAGTTATTATTTTCAATAGAGCTGTAAAACAGGCTAAAGAATTGTTCTATATTTTTAAAATTCTTAGTTTACTCCTCTTTTCATTCTATTTTTACATAAGTTCGTTTTTGTTTTTAAAAATTTTCTTAAAAATTAAATATTTTAATATTTCAATTGCAATTTACTCAAAATGTAATTTTTTGCAAGTAGACCACTAATGCACTGAGCGGCTCAATTGAAACTCGTTTTCCATTTCAATACCACATTAATCGTAGCATTAGTTTTAGGAGAGGAATAATATCTAAAATTCCGTTGTTTTTATAACAATTTACGTTTTCACTTTTAATACTTTTCTATTTTCTCTTGTTATACTATTCTTAAATGCATTTTATTTCTCGAGCATTATTTATTTTCATTTTTCCTTATCAGAAAAAAAAATTCATTATCGCAGTGATGATAAAAGGTGTGAAATATTGCTAAATAATATCACACACTATTCGTTTCAGCGTTTTTTTTTCCAAAGATTAGATAAGATAAAATTTCATATCCAAATAAAAATCTATATGATAGAAATCATAAAGCAATAAAATCAAGAAAAAAGTTCATAATATTATTTTAATGTTGCTTTGTTTCCAAAATAATCATTTTATGTTGATAATAGTAAAATATTTAGGTAGAAAATTAATTATGAAGAAATTTTGTAATGGAAAATAATTAAAAATTCAAAATACAGGTGAGAAAAATTCGAAAAATATTTATAGTGTATTTTGTATTTAAATAAAGTGATGTAATTAAGTCAGTATTGTAACATAATGGCTGGAAAATTTACTCGAATATCTAGAAACAGTTTTTTATTCCTCTATTACGTAGAGTACATGTCAAGTTTTCCTTAAATTCAATTTCATTTGAAAAATTTCAGAAATTGAATTCAGACTATACTGTAATTTTGTTTTTCTATTAATAGAATTCAGAATCCAACACATAACAATTTAAATTCGCTAAAAAAAAATTAAAAACTCATTCTTTCCCAGTATTCATATAGCATTTTTAATCAAACATATTTCATTCTTTCTTAGGAAAAAAATAATCCGCTTAAAAAAATAACGAAATTGGCAACACCTTCTTAAAAAATTCGTAAAAAAAAATTTTTCATTTCAATTTTAAAATAACTCAATTTGTTTTTCACTCATATTAATTTTCTTCACTCATTTTCACTTAGATATTGAAAAACATAAACTAAATTTTGTCTATTTTTTTGTTTTTTCTTTTAAATTATCGATAATGTAGAGTTCATCAAAACCTTCATCATCTGCTAAAAACGAAATGAATTCAACAACAATGGAAAATTTAGCAGAGACACATAATGATCAACAATTATTACCACCACAAACACCAACCATAATATCAACAACACCAACATCAACAATAATAACATCAACACCAACTATTCCAATGGTAGCAGTTACATCAACCACAATAACATCGTCAACAATAATAACATCAACACCACCATTAGTAGTTGAAGCACAAGTTAATCAAAGTCAAGAACCATCTGTAGTTGAAACGATATCAACAACAGTAACAACAACAACAACACCGGCAACACAAGCGACATCAACAGCTATTGTTAAAGATGAAGCTGATGAAGATGATGATGAACAGGTATGTGTCTCGGGAAATTTTTTTTTATTGTGATTTTAGATTACATATTTATCGCATTGTACTTAATATGTACTTGTGTAAAAGGTCTGCTATAAAAATTTTCGCTAAAACTTACTATAAAATTGTAAAAATTTTTTATATTTTAAATTAAATTCATATAAGAATTTTTATGTTATTCTGTTAGAAGAATATTGTACATGGAATACAGACAATTTAACATGAAGTATTAACGAAATTTTTAGAAAAAATTAGGAGCTTAAAAAATATTCTAGAAACGTGTACCTTATATTTGTTATTTTTAAATTTGCCTGTGTAGGTATTTTATGTATGTGCGTACATAATGGATACCTGTTAGACATTTAGAGCAAAAATAAGATTTTTATTTATATTTTTTATCGTTTTCTATATATTTACAGGATGATGGTGAAAAACGTGTTGGATTTAATGTTGATCCGAATGATGAAAGATTCAAAGATGATGAAGATTTTTACAAACGGCCACTTAAATTGCATAGGCGGTAAATTTTAACTTTTTTTTTCTTTGTATTTTTTCTCTTAAATTTTTTATTTTTTCTGTGGTGTAAGAGAAATAAATTTAGCTTATCAACAACAGTATTTAAAATTTTGAAAATTTTTTTTACACGTTTTTAATACTATATTTTCAGAGATACACCACATCACCTTAAAAATAAACGAGTACAACATGGTGTTGACAAACAAGCTAGTGAAATATTAGCAAAAGCATTTAAAAATCAAGCTCAAAATGTTAAAAATGTTACAACACAACCATTAAAAGAAGTAACATCACCAATATTAGAAGATGCTGAGCACAGAGATTCATTATTGAATAGTGGTAAGTGCGAAAAATTGCATTTTTTCTCAAAAACCAGATTTCTATTCATTTATAATATAAAAAAAAATATGACTGACATAGAACAGAACAGGGACGTATTCCAGTAATACTAATTACAGAATTATAGTAATTTTACTATACTGAGGCTATAGTGAATTTAATAACTGTATATAAACTGAATACAGTATAGGCTATTGTGAATTTTTTTTTTATTTCTCTCAAAATTGTTATTGTGATTTTTAATCTACAATTAAACAAAAGAATTTACGTATTAATTTTAAAAGAAAATTTTTTTATTTTTTTTTTTTTTATTTCTTAGGTAAAAAGAAATTTTTAAGATTTTTTAAATAGCAGTGTTACCGCCTGTTTATTTTTATATTTTCATTGTTTATTGAAGTAGTAAAATTTAGTTTTTGCTTTTGAGTTCTTTTTTGTTTTTTGGAAATTTTTAAACAACATGATAATTTTTTTTTTTTGGAAAAATTTAATGGAATAAATAAGAAAAGAAATTTGTTTATTTTGTTTGTTATTTGGTTTTTTATTTTGTTACTAATTTTTATGTGCCATTATAAAAAGTGAGTTAAACATTCATACTCTGTTTACATTCAGAAGTCCTCACATTCTATGTACACACTTCATTAGAATTTTATTCTCTCATTCACCTTAATTGGACACATAACTTATTTTGAATTTTCAGTTTTCAGAAATTAGTTGCATATTATGCTACGATAGAAATTTCTAGATGCTACAATAGAATTCTATCGTAGTGTAGTAGATAGAAATTTCTAGAATCGGTTAGATATAAAGAAAATTTTACTAATGCTAAAAGTTCAATCCTCTGAGTAAAATATTTCTACATTTGATTTCTAAATCATTCAATTCTATTGCTTTTAATAAGATTTCCAGTAAATTTTGTATGTACATAAATAATACCAGTTGGTAGGTGCTATTCCTTGGTAATATTATTCAAATATGCAAAAATATTATTGCTTGACGCCTTATATTAAATGATAAATTTAAAATATAATATAGACATATTGTATTTAAAAAAAAAAAAAAACAAAAATGAAATTTATTTATTTCTTTTTGAAAATGCTGGTGGGTGTAAGGACAAGAGTATACAAATAATATTTTTTAATAAAAAAAATATTGTTTGTGTCCGGAAGGAAGAAATTTAATTTTTGATTTTATAATATGAAAACTTAATTAAAGTCTGATATAAAAATAAAAATCAAATAAACATGTGTGTATAGTGTAAAATTTCCTGTTTTTATTATTTTCTTCATAAAATTTGAATTAATTTTTTTTTAAAATGTCATAAAAGAAATTTGAATAAAAAAAAATTCCTTTGAACTACCAATATGTAATTGTGTTCTATGAAATTTTCTGTTTGATAATAAATAAAATATCTTTGTATCTTTGTACATTGATTTATTTGAATTTATTGTAAATAAGAAAATTGCCATAAATAGTCTAACTTGGTGCAATTTTTTGTATTGAGTCAGACTGTATGGTAATGAATTTTAAGGTTTATTTCAATAATTTTTAAAAATTACAGGCAAATCGTTTTGGAAAATCGTTGTGAGATAATTAAGTACTTTTCCTATTATAATTTTATAGTGTTACATAATTGAATGAAACCGCTAATAATAAGCATTTGAATGATAAAATTCATTAAAATTTCGGAAGAAATCATTAAGAATTAAGAAATATAAAGTTTCTGGCTTACAATTAACTTAATTTTACATTTGAAAATCTCAGTTAATTATAAAGAAACCTGTACTAATGAAGGTATTCAGTTATTAGGAAACTTGGGGAGCGAATAATTGTTTTAACAATTTTTTGTTCCCAATGTGCAGAATACACATTCACTTTTTAGGCTGCATTCACTTCAACAACTCAAGGACTTTAGTACTCACTATATTAAATTGTCTCAGCTGACAAAAAATTTAATAGAAAATAGGGCAAAATTCTATTTTTTTCATACGATTTAGTGTGATTGGATTGGACGTTTTCAAATCAAATATTTTTCAAATTTTGATCGTTTCAAACTTAATCGTACAATTTTGTTCGATTTGTAAACGCTCTCTTAAAATAATCTTTGACCTTTTTACCTTTCTTTAAAACATTTGAAGTTTGAAATGTTTCAAGAATAGTTTGAGAAAGTTTTCAAATTGAGTTGCTTTTCATTCGATTCAATTTGAAAATCTTTACTTACTATTGTACACATGTACTTGATTTTTATAATTTTTATTTTTTTTTTATATATATTTTTAATACTTACATATTATTATTTAAATTTGATCGATTTGAAATTTTAATCTGATAGAAGGCGATTTGATAGCTTTGTATTATTTTCAAAACGCATGAATTTTTATGTTTTGTAAGGCACATACATACACATGTATGTATGTATGCATAATGTGAATTGTAAACAATTGTAATTTTAATATCATTATACGTAGAGTATTATAAGTAGAGTGTATTAAGAAAAATTAGGTCAAAAAATCAATCTAAATTTTCTTTAACCCGCAAATTATTATACTTTCTATTTGCATATTCCTACAATAATAATAGTAATAATAATAATATAATAATAATAAATATAACAATAAATACGTGATTGTTTAAAATGAGAAATTTTTAAATTTCTAATGAAATGTCATTGATATTACATTACTACACAACAAGCTACATGATAATATATGATTGTGTTGTAAATGTAGCAATAAGTAAAAAGTAAGTAAATGTTGTGGGAGAAGAGCGTGAGATGAAAGAGAAAAATTACCAACTTTTATTCATATCTTTTTTCTTTTTTAAATTAAATAAGATGCAAAATACGAAAATAGCAAAAAATTAATAAAAAACCTCAATTGAACTAATTCTTCATATGATGTGGTGGTATTAGAATAACATTATTATTATTATATTAAAAAAAAAAATATTAACAATATAACGGCTCCGGTGAAATAATTGAACATGACATTCTGTTTAAGGTTAGTATACAACAACACCAGCAACAACAACAAAAAAAATCATTGTCAGATCATTTTGTCTTATACAGTTTGTGTTTGATTTTTTATTTTTTTACAATTTTTTTTAATGAACTAAAAGTAAAATAGTAAGAGTGGCAGTAGCAGTGCAGCTTCAACAATAATAATGGTATACATATAACAATAATTTCAAGTTTTTTCAACAGAACAGTTATAGGAGATGAAGTTGTTAATAAAATATTTTCATTTCTATAATATTTTATTAAAATATATTTGTAAACGGAAATATTATTTTGAAATATAAACATAATGTATGTATTAATATATGGAATTATATATGTATATAAATTTATGCTTTAAAGTATAACTGTAACACAGTAAGATGATAATGGGTGTAGGATTACTAAAAAAAAAATATTAAATAGAAATTTAAAACAACTTCAATAAAAAAAAATAAAAATAAAAAGTTTTCAATATTTTAATAGCCTTATCAAATTTTTGATTTATGAAGGTACAGGGAGACAGAAAAGATTTCTTAACATCTTTTAATGTTACTCTTATTTATATTCCTATTATCGTTTTATTTATATTCCTAGTGGAGAATTCGAGTAGAAAATTCAAATGATTTAAGGAGCGAGACGCTCTTTTGTTCCACCGTAAATATTTTTCGAGAAATATGCCTTTTTAATGGATATGTTCCCAAATTGGCAGTTTAAGCACAAAACAATTTAAACTCAACTATCAAAATACATAAAATTTAATGTTGTCATCATTATTTGCAAGGTATAACAACTTGGTTAAAAAAAAAAAGAGATTTCGAAACATACCGTTAGCTTTGATTTATAAATAGTTCATCAATAATCAATAATTGGTAGCGTAAAAGGCAGCTGCATATGTTAATATAATAATTCTACAAGTAGTTGAATTCAATTCTGAATTAAATCCAATTTCATTTAATAGTATGTATGTTTTTATTTAGAGGGCTTTTTGACTTTTGCGAAAATTATGTTTACGGCGATACTATGAGAAATATAAGATAAATGACAATATGAAAAATAAAGCTGCAGTACTTATGTTTGATGTTATTTTGAGTGTTGCCTTAAAACTTTCTCGTTTGCTAGAAAAAAAAATATTTGCTCTTATCCTCAAACTTTCTGACTAATACTCCCGTTTATGAAATATGTATTTCAGTTTCGTAATTCTAACTGAATCTGTATATTTTTGCGTCATTCTGTATACACAAATTTCTACTTATATATAAATATTAATAATATAAAATATAATATTGATTAAGAGAACATCATATTGTTTATTAACAATAATCGAAGGTGGTATCATAACAAAATATACAGAGGCAAATTTTTCATGGATTTCAATTGATTGAATTTAAAAAATGCAAAGATATAACTGTTTATGGAATAGACAAAAGATATCAATAAAAAAAAGAATAGTTGATTTTTTTTTTTTGATCTTCAACATTCAAAAAAACATAAAAAAATTAAAAAGATCCAGAATCAAAAATAAAAGAAAAACACAAAATATTTTTAAACTACTGCCAACACACCTGCTTTGCGTGAAAAATGAAACTTTATTTTCCTCTATCTATGCACATACATATATGTACATATTTATTGGTATACATTTTCCAATCGATATTAAATTTAAGTACGTATATTAGAAAATCATAACAAAATATAGCAAAAGCCCCAAATCAGTAACAGAAAGTTAAAGAAATGAGAAAAAAATGAAAGATAGAAAATCTATTGTTCCAAGGTTTCTTTCAGTTTAGTAAAAGGAACCAAAAAGAAAAAAAAAAGTATCGAAACGTAAATTATTTAATATTGAATACAGTGTGTCCCAAAGAAACAGGGTGGAATTGATTTTGAAATTTGGTAATTTTATTTTCGTCTTAACTTTAGTGTTTTTATAAGTTCAATTTCCTAACTCTCTTGACCTCTCTTAAGATTTGTAACTTAAAATTTGTTTTTAGTATTTTCGACTTCTAAA